CTCTGTTCTGGTCTCTTCGCCCCTTCTTCCATTTGTTTTCTCTTCTAAATTTCTTCCCGCTGCTGACCATGTCTTCCTCCAAGCCTCTCCACACTTACCACCGTCGCTCCAAATCAAAATCCCCTAACAGGGTGGATTTCATTCCGTCAATTCCTAGGGTTCCTCGAACCCGTTCTTCTTCCTCTGTTCCTGTTGAAGATTCCTCTTCTTTTGTGTCCTCTGAGGCTGCCTCCTTCTTTGATAAGGTTATCTCAAAGAGGAAATTCATTCCTGAGAGGACTTATCAATTTGATGCTGTTCCCTTGGCGGCTCAGGAGTCTGCAAATCAGATTTTGGAGCACTACCACCTTCAAGCCCTAAATTCTCTGTCTAGTAAGTTTAACATCCCTGTTGTTCAAGAATTTTACTCTAACTTTCCTACTGACCCTAAGGAGTCCAAGTATCAGATTTTGGTTAGGTCAGTACCCATTACTCTGAAACCATCTGTTATCAATCGGGTCTTAGGTTTTCGATCATGCCCTGGTTTTGATTTTGCAAAATTTGCTCTTGCTTCTGCTGAATACTCTGTTGATCTTTTTAAATCCATGGCATACACTGATCAATCTTTGCCTTTGACCTCTAAAGGTCTGCCTATCAAGTCTTACCTGTCACCTTTTGATAAATTTTTGTGGGATTTTATCCGTCATAATGTTCTCCCCACTGGGAACAATTCTAATCCCATTCTTGCTGCCTGCCAACTCATGATATCCATGGTGAATCATGATAAAATTTCCCTTGGTGATATCCTATATAATGCCATTCTTGGAAAAACCATTGGTCATGGTACCAAGCACAAGGGGACTCTTGTGTTCCCCTGTCTGATTCAGCGCCTTTGTGAGAAAAATGGTGTGGTATTTCATGATTCCGATCAGTGGCATCCTCTCATTGCTCCTTATGGCAAGGCCTCTGCTGCCCTTAGCCAGAAAGTTTCCAGAACCTTTCTCACTTCTGTGTTGTCTTCCTCTGAGAATGCCTCTCTCAGAGCTCAGCTGGCTGCCAAGGAGGAGTATATTCAACATCTTTTGAGCCTCATTCCATCCACTTCGACTCCGGCACCTCCTGCTGCTGCTGCTGCTGCAGATTCTCAGCCTGCTCCTGCCACTGATGAGGACTCGGATGACTCTGTGGATTCTGGTGGCTCTTTGATCTTTTAGCTTGGTGTTGCTCTTGGCTGTGTCCTAGATAGGAAGATTACGTCTAGATAGGTTGTGCATTTTGAAAAGGGGAGGGGTTTTGTAATCTCATTGTGAGTAGTCTGTGCATTTTGCTAAGGGTGATTGTTTTTGTAAACGCATTGTGGGTAGTCTATGCATTGTGATAGGGGGAGTTGTTCTGTCCTGTTTTGAACAACTAGTATTTGACTGTCATAAATCTATGTTCTGTACTGTTTTTAAACAACTGTTGTTTGACTAGTCATCCATATATGAATATGTGCTGTTAACCTTGTTCCTATATGCCTATCACTTTGTCGTTAATCCCTTTTATATGTTGTTTCTCTCTCTCCGCCTTTTTGCACTTTCCTTATCAACAAGGGGGAGAACACTCTCAACCCCACATTGCATATTGTTTTAAAATTTCTGTGATAATATGCTTGTTTTTGTGCCGGGTAGATTGGTTGTTCTTGCAGGTACTTTCACTTCATCATCTCATTAGTCTCGGTTTTGGGTTGAGTGTTCTTAGAGAGTGTGTTGTCAAGGAAAGCCAAAAAGGGGGAGATTGTTAATGTATGGTTTTTACTATTTTCTTTTGGTTTCCCTTGACAACTTTGTAATAGGATGTGTAATGTAATTTATCAAGCTCAAGTCTAGATTAGGGAAAACTTTTATTGGTGCTCTTCTCTAATCTCTGCTCTATGGTGGCTCAAGCAA